TTTACACTTCTATTATATTTTTCTACAGTAATTTAATCATGCCCTCTATGTTCACGACACCATTGCCGAAATATTATGATAGTTTAATAATATAAAAAACGAAAAAATATTTCTCAAAATAATATAAAATGGGACAATAAAAAGGTAAATGAAAAGGAGTATTTTACTAGTTTTTCTTTTTGTACATAATTCGACTGGCGCCTATTTCACTACAACGTTTTGCATCAGTGACCAATGTAAAACATAGATGCTACCTTCTTCTTGAAGTGATTGTTTTTTCTTGACCATCAACTTATGTGTAACTAATTACTACTTTATTTAATAGAGTCCCTAGCCTCCTAACCATGCTTTAATATTAGAGTCCCTAGCCACTAAGTAAATGAATTGAGATTAGTATACTGTCCGTTTTCATTCCTCTAATCAAATATTCATGAAGTGATCCGCACAACCATCACATTGCAATAATAATAATAATAATAGAGTAGTTGATTTTTATAATTACAAATCAAAATCTACTAATGAAAAAAATCCTAATGAATGTGGAGTGTAAAATGTAAACATGTAGTTGGTCGCATTTGATAAAGGTCCTATAATTTGCTGCAATGGCCAAGAAAATATACTTAATGCTGCTTGGCACCCTACAACTGCCCGATTCATGGAGCATTATTGTCTTGAATTAATGCTAGTCTCATATTTTATTAAAAAATAATTTCATTAACCTCGTCAACCGTTACATCAATGAAATGTCCATTTAATAAGACGTAAGAATAATAAAATTGATTAATTGAGAATCTGAGATTACTCTAATAGAAATTTGGGAAGATGATGCTACATGTGGGGTATTGCCCCCACATGGTTTTTCACCGTTGATTTGTACACACTCACACACATACCCTATGTGTATGAGTGTGTGTAAATCAATAGTAAAAAAGTATGTGGGGAGAAGTGCCCCCACATGTAGCACTGAAATTTTCTAGAAATTTGACACCAGCAACAACAACGACGACGACGACAATAATAATAATAATAATAATAATAATAATAATAATAATAATAATAATAATAATAATAATTTGTATGCACACACATCTTGTCTTAGAGGGTGTATTCGTATAGGATTTGGAGTGATATTTAGGCTATGTTTGGTAGACATATAAGCAAGTTTATAACTTATTTGGTTAGCTTATAAGCTTCCTATATTCAAACAAGCTTCATTTGATAGGACGAATTTTTTAAAAAACTTCGAACTTATCTCATAAGCTTCTTTAGGAAGCTTTTCAAATAAGCTCGTTGAAATTTTTATTTCAGCTAGTTTATCAGCAAATTATATCAAATACTTTTATCATATAAGCTAGTTTTTCAACTATAAGTCATAAGCTATAAGCTCGAAAATCACTTATAAGTTATAAGCTAGCTTATCAGCTATAAGGAGGTGTATTTAGCGACTTTTTGAGATTTGAGATTAGGGGGGTGTATTTAATTGGAATTTCTAAAGACTTTTAAATACTTTATAAGAGTTTAGAAATCCTAGTTTATTTAATTTAATCCTAGTTTATTTAATTTAGACTTCTCAAAACTTTAAAAATATTGAGGTATTCTTTTGGGATTTTACAATTTTATAAAATCTTAAGATATTTACCTTATTTGAGACTATGATTTGTTAAGACATTTTAAAATTTGCTGGGATTTCTAAAGAAAAAGACATACAAAATATCACTTCAAATCCCATCTCCAGACTTAAAATTTCACAGGATTCCTCCAAAATCCAAAAATTTTAAAAAATCTGAAATCTCAAAAAGTATCTAAATGTCACTCGAAATCCTAAACGAATACACCACGGAGGAGGATTGGATGATAAATTAAGTTATCCAAATATTTTAAAAAACTAAATGTTGTACAATTTTAAAACTCTAATATTATGTTGCTTATAAATTAAGGGGAAATGCTACAGCCCAGTTACGGAACCATTCCGTCGGGATTTGTAGCCGTAACGGCTACAAATCTCGACGGAATGGTTCCGTAACTGGGACTGTAGAATCTCCCTAAATTAAGTTACCCAACTTCATATTATCATATTTAGAAAAACTAATATTAAGTTGCTTATAAATTAAGTTAACAAAATGTTACACAAATTTAAAACTTCTAACCGGATAAAAATTAAATCTATATGGAATGTTACAAACACAAAAATACAAAAAATTAATACATATGATCACATTATACATGAAAAAATCTATAAAATTTTATGAGACCGATTACACGAGGATTTTTTATAACATTAATTTACAACAAATATATTTTTGTAGTTTAAGGAAAAAATCATTTTTTCAAAACAGAAATTACTCAATCGTTATTCACCGCCACCCTATTACTACTCACCGCCCCCTCCTTGGACAATTTTGCCCCTTGCATTTTTTTCAAAAAGTAAAAAAAAAAAAAANATTTAAAACGAAAAAATAATATATTAATAAAAAAATAATATTAATTAATTTATTTGAAAAAAAAATTAATATAATTTAAAACAATAAAATATTATATTAATAAATAAAAAATATATTAATTAATTTATTGGATAAAAAATATTTTTAATTATCAAAAGAATAATAATTACTAAAGTAATGAAAGAGATAAATTAAAGGAGAGCGTTTCTGGATTAGGTCACGGCTATCATTTTTGGACATTTTTGCCCAAAAATCGTTTATTGGGTAAATAATTACTAAAGGAGAGCGTTTCTGGATTAGCTCACGGCTATCATTTCGGTCAGAAGTAATGAAAGAGATAAATGCTTCTAAGTTTTGATGTGGCCCATGAGAACCCATTCTATTGCCTGGTCCTGTGAGACTAATAAATGCACTTCTAAAAAGGGTATGAATTACTTAAATAATGGATGATAAATACTCCATATCCAGAAAGTACAGCTAATATGGCAAAATTTCAAACCTCCTTACCGAATTTTTTACCATTCGATCGACATATGTGTGTGATCCAACGGAAAAAAAAAAACCCAATGGGGACATAATACTCGCAGTAGGGTCATATTTACCCTAACGTGGAATTTAGAGGTGGCTACAAAAAAATAAATAAATAAATAAATAATCATTTAAATAAACTTATGGCAACGTGCAATTTCTACCTTATTTATAAAAATAGAATCATTCTTGTTTGAAATGTAGAATGTGAAAATGTACGTCCTTATTCGTTTAATATCACATTCAATGATTATGTTTTATTGGTGGTGTAAATTAAATAAGAGAAAAGTAATGGAATATTCCATTATAAGTTTTCTGTTTAAATATGCAGGCCTATGCTTGTTGGGACTTAAAATAGTAACGTGGTTTATCTTTTTGGAACAGGGAGAGAAATTGATTTAAGAATCTAGTTAGCTAATTACATCACTTGCCTAAAAATTTGGTCCAAATATCTGCTTATGATGTTTAGTCTAACTATGAAAAAAATGCAATTATTCTTTGATACAGCTGGAAAATTTCACACAATGCATCACAAATATCTCTTGTGTATTCTAATTACAAAGGGCAGTTACAAAAACTTTGCGTAGTCTGAAAATAACTATCATTTCAAAATTTTAAGAGAAAAGTGCATTTTTGGTCCTGTAAGTTTACCCCTCTGGACAATTTAGTCCTCCTCGAATAGCCATTTTGATTTTCGTCCTCTAACTTTTAAAAAAGGTTGCACATTCGTCCCCGACTCGCCGGAAACCCGTTAATTGCCCGGAAACACGCACGTGATGGAAATTAACGGCTCTTTCGGCCGACGTGGTGCCGGATTTCACACGCGGACATCTTTACTTACACGTGGCGGCCGAAATCAAAAGAAAAAAAAAAAAAAAAATTTCCACGTGTATACACACGTGGAATGGAACGTTGTTAAATTATTTCGGGCCTACTGTTTTTGAACGATTTCCATCTTCCTTCAACCCTAATTTCCCAAATCTCAAGATCCCCAAATCTTCAAGAACCCTAATATTAAAAATTGTGATTTCGTTCTTCAAAATTGTCGATTTCGTTCACCTTCAACATGTCTGAGTCGTCGCATTATACCGGTTTCTTGGAATGTTGGTGCAGAAAAATGGCTGTTATTCGCACATCATGGACGGCCGACAACCCGGGCAGGAGATTTCATTCTTGCCTCGAGTACAAGGTACGGTGGTCTGTTAACGACGCATTATATGACATTTAGGGCAGAATTGTATGTGTGTTTCGCCGTGAATCATGAAGGGTGTTTATATGATATATGATATTTTTGGTAGAATTGCTTCTGTGTTTGATTGTGTTTTGATTCTTGCAATGTTGGGTTTTTTCATGGCTGTGTGAAGGGTGTTTGATTGTTTCATGGCTGTATTATACATTGTTTTAACCTTGTTAATGTTGGTGCAGAAAAATCAACCCTTCTGATTCTTTGTGGTCTGTTAACCTTTTTTTTTTTTTTGGTAATGTACAGAATGGAGGCTGTAAATTTTTCTCTTGGGTCGACCCTCCTACCTGTGACCGGCCTGAAAAAATCATGCCTGGGTTATTGAAGAAGATGAAGGGAATAGAGAGAGCAAATGAAAACTTCAAATTTGAGAATACCAAATTGGAGGAGAAGGTTGAAAAACTGGAGGAGAATGTTGAAAAATTGCAGAAAAAGGTTGAAAAATTGCAAGCATTGAACAAGAGGTTGGTTGAAAAGAAAGAAAAAATGGAGATGAAAATGGGGTTTGCATTGGCTATAGCAGCTTTGTTGTGTGTATTTTTGCTATATAAAATTAGGTGAAGGATATAGATTAAGGAAGGTTGTGTAATGTGTTTATTTTCTCTTGTAATCTTCTATGTACTCTTGTATTTTGTGTGTACCTCATTTCGGAACATCTATGTAATGCACTTGTGGTTTCAATGAAATGAAATTTTCTTTAGTTTGCACTTGTATTTCTTTAGTGTGCAGTTAATAACTACTTGTATTTCTTTAGTGTATCTCTTGTATTTCTTTAGTGTGCACTTGTTCTACTTTTTTAAGGTTAACTACAAATTGTTGGAACATATAAATTAAAAAAAAAAAAAAAAAAAAAA